CAGAATTGGAAAGCTACCTAAGCCACATACAAACTACGGAATTAGAGATTTCTTGACTATGTGCTACTCTCAACCCACTTGAGGACAACATCACACAAAACACAATGCTTTTAAAAAAAAAAAAGAAAAGAAAAAAGTAAATATCCATCAAAATCTTACTTCAGTAAATGCATCAAAAACTCATTAAAAAAAAATAAAATCAGTGCTTCATTAACAAAGCAGACTGCTCATAGCACAGAGGCAATACTGATCTGAAGTAAAACACTCTGCTCAAAACACCCAGCCGTGTTTCAGCACCATAATCGCCTCTCCTTTTTGTAAGGCAAATCAAGATGGTAACTTTTCGGTTCTGACAGATACTTGCACCTCTTTTCAGCAGGTGCTCAGACTGCACGGCAAACGGTCTTCATTAAGATAATAACCTACGAATCTGAACCTGACATAAACTACTAGAAATGCACCCAAGCCTGAATTTAACAAGTCTGTTTTCAAAAGCTGTAACCAGAGCATGTTCAACGATAATATAAAGGAATTGCAGAACTGTAGAGATCACTGGAAGAAAAAAAAAAATCATTTGTTTCCTGCAGAGCAGTGACACAACGTTAAAGTGCCACGAACGAATTCATAGCTAAGTAACTTATCTACAAAATTCTGTCCTAAAAAGTTATTCCCAAAACTTCTTAACAGATAAATCACATTTTCTACAGCTTCCTGCAATTTCTTCTTGTAGGTAAAATGCATTTTACCATGGAGTAGTGATGTCATAGATGTGTCAAAACAAGAAAAAAGACACCCGAGCATTTTCCCTCTAGCAGTTGCAGAGAGTGCCGGAATACATCAGGAGGAATAGTTCTCCTACACCTCAGAGGACTACGCAACATACACTGACAAATCTCAAGCAAACAAACAAATAAATAAATCGCAGACAAAACCATGGATTAAATGGGGAAGAAAAAAAAAAAAAAAAAAAAAGAATGAGAGTGTAGGCATGCATCTCTACCTAAGGGATAAGAAGGTCTTTACACTTTTTTTTTTTTTTCCCACGTGGCATTTTAAGAATGTCTTTCAGGCTACAAAAGCAACTGCATTTGCCTTCCATTAATTATTTGCAATTACAAATGCCCTTGTTTTGGCAACAAGCCAATATCCAGGTAATAATTCATTTTTACTCAGGACCTGTCTCCCCATAGCATTTTTTCTAGTTGTTAATATCTGCCTGCAGGGAAAAGCATAAGATAGAATGAAGAAAGTCTCCTTTGGGACACGTCAGCTGACTCAATTTTGCATACAGTCACCAGAGCTACGATCAAAGATGGATCCTATCAATAAGGAGAAGACAGTAATGGGTAACAGGCGGAATAACCCTCTACCAATTCCAAATGGTGTTTCTTCCCTACGAACTACACCCTTTACTACCTCCGTGGCCATGAAATGCTGAACTAATCAGAATTACTTTAAGAAATGTTTGGTTCAATCACAGAAGCAGACAATCCCGTCACAAGGAGTGCATGAAGTTACATCTTTCCTAAAGAAGCCTACACTGATCTAAGTAGTGATTTAGAACAGCGGGTGAATAGCTGTTTTCTACCTAATCTACAGTGACATTTATTGTCAGATAAAAAAACTCCACTGGAAAGACAATTGCCCAATTTCTTAACAAAAGTGACTTTCCAAGCCCTTCTGCTCAGGGTTTGAAAATGTGTTCCTATCTGCTGCTTCCATATTTACAAGATAATTGTTCTAATCAAAAAGGAAAAACTTCTATCCTTCTCGGCTACACAATCAAACTCCCTCCCACAAACACAGACCAAATACAAAATTAAGTATTCTAATTCCCAAATCACAATAGTTGCAAGAAACAATCAGCAATTTCAACAACAAGAAAAAAATAGTGCAGTTAAATTTCTATTAGAAATAACACTATTTCAACAGAAGTCTTCATTTATTTCCAGGTGTTCAAATTCTTATTACACATTTGCCATTCAACTTTTTTATTTGAACATTAAAATTACAATTGGAGGACTCATATTTCCAGTGGTCTCTCTGCAGTAGAGACTACCAGAACAAAACATAAAACATTCTACATGGTTAACAATATGACATTTAAGTTACCAGAATTACAGTTCCCAATTTTTTTTTCCAACAGATCACATAAAAATTACATAACTGGGGCATTTCCTGTAACAGAAATATCAAACTTATGCTGCATTTCTTTAATTTCAATATGAATATTTCTACATAAGAGCAACATCATACATGACATTTTGATTTAGCAAATGCATGGTACTTTAGCTGGTCTAACTGATGTATTTTTCCTCCTCTGAGCCATTGTAATTAAGTTCATAAAACATGTTGCTAATATGCCCTGCATCAGTATCACGTAACAAACATATCTTTCTTCCACAACTTCAGTGGGAAAGGGAGTAGTGTTTATTTTTACCTCATATTAGCCTTTTCATACATGCACAATTTTCTTCTACTTGTACCCTAAGTTCTATTTCATCTGCAAGAAAATAATCTGTACCCAAAAGTTGGAGTTCTTAAGCAAGAAGTAGTACAGCTGAAGACAACACACGACAAATCACAACCAACTATTAATTTCAAAATAACACTGAATGTTTAAAATACAAGTCGACTAATTAGCCATCAGTCATTTGAGGTGGAAAGAATTTCCTCACAATTCATCTGAGAAACAGACAGTTTAATTTAGCTACCCTTTTTGGTAGGACATTCATGCAGATGTTAACACCAGCTCAAGTAAAATACATATATTTTAATCCATATTACAGGCAGAAATATAACTGGCAGATTGGAAAGCTATTTTTCAATACTCAAGCCAAGTAAAATCATAGTGCCTCAAATTTTATCTTGTAAAATGGGCTAAGCAGCTCTGGTAGATATCCCCACAAATACAGTAAGAGTGTTGTCTTGTAAGAACTAGGAATAATTTATTTGAACATTTCCATCAGGAGTTTCCACAAGAGAACTAATCACAATACCAAAACTTTTTCACTTCCTCTCTACAAATGAATGAATTTAATTCTTCACCTCCCTGAACATAATTATCTCATACTCTGATATGCAACTGCCATCCAATTACTTATTACCACAGTAATCTAACTGAAGACAATGTTCCTTCCATTGTGATAATCATGCATGTCAAGGTAGCCACATGAAAATTTTGAGGCTAAAAGATACAATCTGGTCACAAAACTTTGTATTTAAAGGAAAAAAAAACCTGCAAATACATACTGCAAATTTAAAAAAAAAAAAAAAAAAAAGACCTAGAACTTCTCAGAGACCTAAAGCAATTTTTTTCTCACACTGATGTTAACAGGTATTTCATTTTTATTTTATTTGGTCCAGATGTCCCTGCATGTCATCAGCAGTTGAAGAAAGTTGTGCCCAAAAACGATGCAGCTACAATAAGACATTTCTTCACCTTTTATTCAACCTCACTGTAGTTCTTAAATTCATATTTCAGTAAGTTATAAAGCAGAATGAAGTACCTTACATAATATTTAAATTAAATAATACATATTTAATATCATTAAATCACTTTCTCTCACCCTTCATAAACCATGTGTATTGAATTATAAACTGCAGCACAAGAACAATCTGCATATGGCATTTAGCAGAACAGGATGTCCATGCATGTCTTCAGTATAAACAATTGCATTAAGTTACTCCAGAATTAAGTAGCAAATCCTGTTTACCTATATAAAATTTAAAAACACTTTTAAGTTTACCATCAAATGGAAAAATCACGGGTGAAACAAAAAAATTGTACATTCATTATATATTCTTGAAATGTCAATTCTCATGAAGTTGGTTCATCTTCTTTCTGTTAACTGAAGTAAGTGAAAAAATGAACTCTTTTCCATTTCTGCTAATGGAAAGGTTCTTCTTTACTGTAGTTTTTCCTATGTCAGCTTTGATTCTTCAATGTTAATTTCTCTACTGGAGCACCCATTATCTCTTCAAGTTTTACACAAACACCATATTCTCCCTTTTTCATTCTATAGCCACAACACCTACAAAGATTTCCTTAATTTGAGGCCATACCTAGTCTAATAGAATCCCCACCGGATTGAAGCTTCTCTTATCAGAATAGTACACTGGTGAATGACTGAAGTCTGCTAGAGTCATGGATTCACTATGTACCAGTGCTTCACTGCAAGCACCTTCTCTAAAAAGATAAAAGTTGTGCACATGTAAGCTGCTCGAGGCAAGCCAAGTCAAATGATTTGGTCAGGCAGTGAGAACAGGGCAAGGGCACAATAACCTGGCGTTTTGGCTGCGTGACTGTTTAACCCGTGTTACAGCCTAGTTTAATCAGTGTTGTTTACACAATACTCTCAAACAAACAGAAGCCCTACAAAGACATATTAAATCTTGTTTTCTATAGAATAAGTAATCAGTATGCGTTCAAGAATAAATTGAATGCAAAGTTTGAAAAGGGTACCTAAACTAATAACCAAGTCTGGAGATTTTTAAATACTGTCTTACTCTGAGGTATATGTCTATTACTGTAAAAGTTTATGCATCGCATTCTAAGATCTAGAGACCTTGAATAAAGTCTAATTGTATTTCCTAAGTCAAGCAAGCTATACAAAAACTAGAACAGATGATGGTGGATGGTGTTCCAGTGTTACTGTTTAGCATAACACTTCATGCAGATATGCAAGAAAGTCTACATACTCAGGACTGTTTACATCTGAATAAATAGGGTAAATTAGCAAATACAGTATTTAAAATTATCTACAAAAATGTGTTTTACCAGGTATTCACTGTTTGTATCAAGTTTTAAAGCTGAAAGCTGAGGGAAACAGCAAAGGATATGAAACAAAACAAAAAATTTAAACAGACATTTTTAAAATCCCCTTAGAAAGCAAAATCAGTAACTATTAACTAAATTTAAAATGCCTACAACTAGTTGGTGGCCTTGTCAGCAGACATCTTTAAACAAAAGGCCACAAACAAACACAAACAGCTTTACATATTACTTGACTTGTTTATTTTACACCATGAGGTGAAAGCAACACATTTCCTTTTAGTAAAGTATACACAATTAGCCTCACTCAGAATACATGTTTAATGCACATAAAAAAATTATTCATTTTACAAATTGTTTCGCAATCCAAATATACAATAGCTTGGAAAACAATATTTTAGAAAACAAAAGCCAATGTAAAAAGACTGCTTGAAACAACTAACGTGATAAAGATTCCTATATGGCTCTGTCTTTACAATTTTCTTACTGCGTCATCAATATCAGAAATCTGTTCCTTCAGCTGGTTCCACTGCTCTGGATTTAAAGAAATACCTGAAATGCATTAAAAACAAATATTTAGTACAAAAAAAGAAAACAGTAGTTCAGTACCTTGTATACTTACAATCCAGACTGATTTCATACACAAAGTCCACATCACAACTATTAATGCTTGAGATACATCAAATTTAGTAACAGACTTAAATCCATGGTTAAACCATTCACTTGGAATACCTCAGTTTAGAAATTGCCTACCTCTAGACAAGTCTACCTTACAAAGAAAACAACATAACAAAGGCAACAACATAAATTCATTCACACATGTTTCGTAAACACGGGAAACAGAGCTCTGGCTCTGACAGGAGACAGCACAAAAGCCCTGCGTGAGATATAGGAAGCCAACTGTATTTCTGTTTGCTGCTAAAGGCCAACCTCTGTGGATGGAACTTCATGTATTTACGATGTAACATGATTCTGGTTGGTTATTTTTTCTCCTTTTTTCTTAATGCACTGTGAAGAATGAATCCTAGCACTCACAAATCAACATAGAACGGTTCTTGCTTAGCTGCCTGGTTGTTCTTGTTGTTTAATTTAAGATCACTATAAATGCTTATGACATTCAACTAATGATTAGTTCCCCTCAACCCATCTCCTCAGTTCTGAACATTTATTTGTTCGAGTTACAGATCACATTTCCATTGTGCTTTACTCTCCTCACTCTTTCCCTACAATCTCTATGCCAACACTAAGCAAGTAGAGACTCACAGGCCTACCTCACTCTCTGCAGTGAGGCTCTTCTAATATGTACCCCCTCTCTACTACTCAATTCATTGCCTTCTCACTGTACATAGAGAACCAGAAAACAAGTGAAACTATGAGTTCCATCTCTGGGGAGCATCACCTTTTTTTTTTTTTAATTATTATTTTTTATTATTTTCCCTCTTTCTTGCCTATTACCACCAGAGTTCTATCATAAAATCAAAATTATTTTAAGCAGAAAATCATCTGCATGGCTCTGCTTTAAGCAGTTGTCCCAACAGTCCTTAGGGTAAAGGTTCTGAAAACTTGGCCAGGCATTATTAAAAAATATCATCAAATTGGCCCAAAACAACATATCATAAGGACTGTACGCAGACGTGTATTTCAAACCTGCTGTCTAAAACAAGTCTGACATAAATTTCTAACAATAAGATTTCTTTCTTCTATTTTATTACAAATTTACTATTGTATCCTTTTTAGGATAGCTACGTAAGCAGCCTTCAAGTGTACCACTAGAATATTAGACTCAGATGCTATATCTGATTAATAATTTTATCCTAATTAAATCCAGACTTGTTTGACATCCCTACAAACATTTTCAACTATATCACATAATTTTTGTGAATTTGCCTGCCCTTTAAGAATCACTGTGATTTCCCCACTCAAGCTTTCAGCTGATGCTCTTTTCACTTTTAGCTCAAAAAGTTTTTTTGTTTAGCCCTTCAAGCTTGGAGTAATCATTTTTGCTAAGTTGTAGTAACACATTCAACAAAGACCTCCTTGTACAACCCGTTCACATAAACCTACAGTGGTTATTTAAGATACATTGAAAACAATTCTCAAGCTTTCCAAGTGTTTGTTCACTGTGTTGCTCCTGGACACATCAGGAAAATACAATAAACCTTATACTGATTCTAGATTAAATGACTTGAATCTTCAGAACAGAACAATTCACACTTACCTGTTTCATTGGTACAATATGAAAAATAATATGTTTCTAAAGAAGCTACAAGACATTAAGAAAAGCACTACTACTGCAATGGTCAACCCACCTTTATCCCACAGATAGCAAAAGTTCTGAAAATGGTCCATTAAAAGGATGCTATAAAAATCTGATAGGGCAGTGGCAACTAAAGACTTAAAGCTTACGTGCTGTGCTGCAGGTTAGACAGACACAGAAAATGTTATATGAAATGTTTCTGATATTTTAATCTGAAATTAAATAAAAATTGAAAAGCATAATTGTTTTAAAGAATTTAATTTCTTATTCCAAATAAAATTAAATCTTTCCAGTCAATTTAGAAATAAAAATCCTATTGGAAGAAAGGTAAGAAATTGATTTAAGGAACAGGGGAGAAAAAAACAGTATGGTTGCTACAATAAATTCACTTCTCCCTGGCACTGTATTCCCATAAATTGTGCAAGATTCACTTAGAAAAATGGACTCAGGCTAACTCTGCTTTTGTTGCTTTTGTCTACAGGTAAAACTAACCATTTTTTTTAAATAAAAATATTACCCTAGAATATAATGCAGTAACAAACTATATAAATCTGACACAAAATTTTCCAGTAAATTATAAGCAGTGTTTTAATATAGAACAATATGAAGCAGAACAGTACCTTTTCTGCCAGGCTTCATTTCACCTTCTTGATCCATCCAATATTCTCTAATATCAATTAAAACTTTCCCTTTAAAGTCACGAACACTGACATACCTCATTTTGCCAATCTGTTAAAACACATATAAGACATTTTATGTATTTTACATATTACAGTATTCACTTTTCCAAACAGTATTACTCAGACATGACCCACTGCAGCTTATTTTAGATACCAGAGAAACAACCAGATCAAGAGCTTAATCCAGAGTAGTCAGTAGGCTAATAGATAATGACAGTATAAATGGATGAAGGACTTAAAATTAGTTGAGCATTCAACACTTTTTTTTTTTTGTCAAATCTCACTCTCCTGAAGTAAAAAGCCTATATCCTTAGCAAGTGGCATTCTTACAAAAGTATTTTGCTTTTTCTGATTTTTTTTGTTTGTTTCTAACATAAACACCTTTGTTAACAGCAGTTGCAAACACAGAGGAAGAGAGAGCTCTACTCTAAAATATAAATTTTAGTACTATCCCTATTGACAAAAAACAAAAAACAAATTAGATATACACACCAGTTGAGTACAATTTCTAGACAGGGCTTAGTGTTATTCAGTTGTCTTTTTGTTGTTGTTGTTGTTGTTTTTTAATAAACACAGCAAAACAGATGAAAATGAAAGGAAGACACTAACTGCCCCATGCTCGCTCCACATTCCTCTTGGTATACTTAATTGCAACAGTGAGCGAAAAACATTAAAAAAACTTTGAAAGTTTACCAACACATATCACAGCATGAAACTGGTTTTGTTAAAGTGATGCTTTTGGAATTTCATCATTTCTGAACATTTCTTTAATTTTTTTCTTTTTAGAGGGTGGGCAACAACAGGAAGAACAACAGCAAATTGCATCACACTTTGGATCGCATTATATATTTAGGCTTTCTAAAGGTTTTCCCACGTTTAAAGGAAATATTTGTTCACACCAAATCAAACTACAATGGGAATTTGAAAATCAGAAATTAGATAATCAAAACACACAAAGACAATTAGTTTAAGAAATGGCTAGCATTTCATATGCATCTCCTGGATAGAGTTTATGAAGAAAAAACTTATTCCTAAATAAACAAATTTAAAATAGAATATTTGATCTGGATTGCTGGGCCGGGCCAATGGGATGAAGTTTAACAAGACCAAGAGCTGGGTTCTGCACTTTGGCCACAACTACCTCAGGTGACCCTACAAGCTTGGGACAGAAAAGTTTGAAGACTGTGTGGAAGAAACAGACCTGGGAATGTTGGTCAACACATGGCTGAACATGAGCTAGCAATTTGGCCAAGAAGGGCAATGGCATCTTGCATTCTATCAGAAACAGTGCTGACAGGAGGAGCAAGGAAGTGACCCTCAGCTTTGGAGAGGCCACACCTTGAGTACTGCATGCAATTTTAAGCTCCTCACTACAATAAAGACGTTGAGACCCTGAAGTGTGTTCAGAGAAGGGCAACGAAGCTGGTGAGGGGTCTGGAGCACAGGCCTTAAGAGGAGCAGGTAAGGGAGCTGGGATTGTTCAGCCTGGAGAAGAGGAGGCTCAGGGAGACCTTACTGCTCTCTGGAACTCCCTGAAAGAGGTTGTGGTGGGGTGGGGGTCAGCTTCTTCTCCTGTGTAACTAGCAATGGGATTTGAGGGAATGGCCTCAAGTTGCACTATGGGAGGTTCATGTTGCGTGTTAGGAAGAACTTATCCATAAGAGTGGTGAAGCACTGGAATGGGCTGTCCAGGGTGGTGGTGCTGTCATCGTCCCTAGTGGTGTTCAAGAAACATTTAAATGTTGCACTAAGGGACACAATTTAGTGGAGAAATACTGGTGATTGGTGGACAATTGGACTGGATGATCTTGGAGGTCTTATCCAACTCTGGTGATTCTGTGCTTGATTACTTTCTAATAAAACTAATGTGCATCCTCCACTGACAATTTAACAGTGGATCACGTACATCTTACTAGCATTGAGTCTGACCAGAAAACACGAATTCTCAAATCAACAATCACCCAAGTCATAAGCCGTTACTTCACAAAATAGATATAAACAAGTATGCTTTAAGTTCAGTTAAGGCCACTTCTTATGCAGACCATGTTGAATTAATTCCAAAATTAATTTTAAAGCATTCTCAGACACTGTAAGCCTAAAACGTGTTTTTCTTCAAAGTGAACAATAAATTTCAGTTTATATTATTTTGCAAGTGATTTATTAAATACTTCCACAGCACTACAAATACAGCAGACAAAAATAAGGTATGATGTCAGATGAGCTGAGTTCTTTGAGACTTAACTTGGTATAGCCTGTAAGATTGGCCAAGTCTGTCAGCACTGTTGGCAAAGAATATTACAAATAGCTTGCATAAAAAACATTTCATAGTTTTTCACTGTAATACATCACCAGTTTCAAGTTTATAATTAAAGCAGCAGTACTCTGGAGTATCTATCAATTAACTATTAGTGCATTACCAAATAATCCCAAATTTGTTCTAAGAAATAAAATCTGATAAAAACACAGCACATTAGACAAATACAGTAGAAAGGCTGAGAATATGAATATTAAAATTGAAAGTACCTATATTAATTCAACTACAATAAGGTGAGGGGAGAAGAAAAACAAAGCTAATATCACATAGCCAGTAAGTGTAAGTTAACTGGAAATAGTCCGATATGAAGATCACAGAATCATAGAATGGCCTGGGTTGAAAAGGATCGTTGTGATCATCTAATTTCAACCCTCCTGCCATAGGCAGGGTCACCAATCACTAGACCATTTCAGAAAATGCTGAAATTAAGTTACATTTAATGCTTCTATCCACATATCATCTGAATGTTCGCATTAAATTTAGACCATTAAGCTGAACTTTATACAAAACAGTTGTCACTGCAAAAAGTTTTAACACTAGTTTCTGAAGTAGCTCTTATTAGCAACTAAAGTTAATAGAATTCACCAAAATATAGATTTACCCAAGCAAATTGATTTTTTTTCTTTTTTCTGTTTGTTTTTTTTTTTTTTTTTTTTTTTTTTAAGTTCAAATCCCTTTTGTTCTGGCATTAAGTAATTTCTGACTTTTTATACTGACTTTAAATAACTTTTTAATGCAGCAGCTCATAGTACTGGAATAATTTCCCTGGGCTCAAAGCACTTTGTTATCACTGTAATCACAGTAGTGTTCCAAAAGAATATGATTTATAGCAGAGTAGTTTATGATGTTCAACTTTCATGCACAAGTCCATATGCTTTTTATAAAATACCACAGCTCTTTAAACATACCTCTCTACTAAATTAAGTACATCAGAAAATACTATTTCCAAGTTTTCATTTCTTAGAATACAATACACTGAACTGCATCTAGGTTCCTTTTGCAGCTATGCAACTGACTTCCTGTATGAGTTTCAGCTTAATCCACATTTTCATTCCAATTGCCAGTTTCTTCTGAACACACACACACTGAAGTAGAAACTGCAAAAAAAAAGCAGCCTTCCTTCTACAGTCTGAGGAGCGCAGAATGATAGTATGAACTCCTAGAATGCAGAGTCCTGTAAACAGCTGAGCTCTGCAACACACCAAATTGGTTTAGAACACTAATTCTGAAACTGATACTCACGCAACATTATCTCACGAACACCCTTCCAGATCACTGCAGACATGTATTTATCTATTTTTAGGATATTATGATAGGTGAAGACATTGCATTGTAAAACTGACAAACATATTTCTGACAAGTCAAAAAACATGTACAACTTAACTCTCAGAAAGGAGGGAGTGGGGGTGTCTTTTCCAACAAAAAGAAATAACAAATTTTGTGAAACGTCCTGGCTCCATTCTGAACAGTTACTAAATAATGTGTTCTGACAGCATTAACAAACCTTACCCAAATTAGGCATGAGTAGAAGAAAGGATTTGTCAAACTACCCAGAGCACGTGATGCAGACCTTATATGAGCTGAAGCCACAGATAGAAATCTAATGCAAGAACACTAAACTTTCCACACGAATAATGCTTGTCCTTAGGACTGCTGGTAACAAATCACGCAAGGAGTGAGTTAATTTTCCGCATCTCAATTGTGCCCAAATCCCTTCACCGAATTCCAAAGTACACATAGCTACCTTTAAAGTCTAAAAAGGCCAAGACACATAAATAAGTAAATAAATAAATGAATGTTCATAATGAAACAATTTCCTACTACTTATAATAATTCTACTCTTTATGAGTTTCGAGTATTAACATTCATTTTAAATAAAAAAACTGAAGCATAGATCTTGCAAAAAATGATATCATAATGAGCTCTACACTAAAAAGGAAGCTGCAATTCTTCCAGAATACAGCCTAAACATTTAGAACCTTAAGTCTCTATATTTCACATCATTTGTTGCACTCCCACACAAAACATGGATGTCACAAAACTGAATATCTTATGAATGCTTCACATCCTGATTTATACCAGTTCAAGTCAGGTGTTAAGTCATACTGCAGTGCCAACCGCAAATCAGAGATCACCTTATTGCTACAAGGAACTAAAAAGGAGAAAGTTTTCTGTATTACTAACAGTTTCAGAACAAAGAAAATCATACCTAAAAATTTAAAGACTAGAGCTTTTAGCATGCTCTCTTGGGTAGAGCAGAGAGAGAGGAGGTAACCATAGACTCACAATGCTATTTCTACACCAAGATAGACACATCTCAGTTAAGGTACATAAGCTGATGTAGCACTGCAATGCTTTCATAACAGAATAAGCAACCTAAAAAACATTTCTGTTAAGTAACTAAAAAGTAGGTAGATACCAAAGAACACTGATGGAAGAGTCCAGGCATTAACACGTATCCAGTTGAAGCCCTCCCTCCAACTATACATGAGTAAAGTAAAGACTGATAATTAATAATAACTGACCCATATTACATAATCAGTTATGCAGGTCTTCTGTCTGGAGAACAATTTTTTTGCTATTTTATTTTGCATAGCAATAGCCCAAAGCAATTTATTTTGCCTTATCCCGAAATGGGACCATTCTATTAAACATCCTCCCCAGACTCTTTCACAAGCTTAAGAGTAAGAGCCTAGGTTTCTTCTCTATTCCCTGCCTTTATCAATCCAGCTAGTCACAGACATTTACTAATTCCAAGATACATATATTCTTTCACAGCTTGCAGTACACACTGCTACTGCCCCAGCTGAGCCTAAAAGTTAGTCTACCACTCTAAGCTTACAAATAAATCAGGCTAAGGAAAAAAATCTACATTCACGCCATCTAAAACAAGTATATCAAAACTGCAATCTTTCTGGATGTTTAGTGAGAAAAACCTGCATCACAAAACAAAGAAACAAGCAAAACTTACTCTGAGGCACTGCCTTATAAAACAGAAACCAAGTTGCCCTTGACCTAGTTAAACAGAATTAAGAGATCCTATTTTGCTTTCCAAGAACATTTATTTCAAAACCTCTGATTAAAAGAAGTGCCCATGCACAGATTGTCCTGATTTAATATTTGCAGTGTATTTATGATAAGTGCTGTATATGCAGACAAAATGACTACCCAGAGAGTTACCATGGGCAAAATGCATGAAGTCTGGATCAATTGCCACAACTCAGTTTCTTTTATTTTACTAAGACCTGAAGATTGTTTTTCTGAGTACCTCACCTGCACTGCATCATTCACAGTAACCTCGCCAAAGGACACTTCAGGAGACCAGGCACCACATGATCAAGACATTCACATCAACTCAAAATTTATACTGAATATGATGTAACAGGATGCCTTAAAAAACGGTCATTAATTTTTACCTGAAACATATTCTCATCTCTGTTGCTGCTTTGCTTAGAAGAAGCGGCACCTTTTGAACTTTCACCCGTCTTTTGTTTCTTTACAGGCTTTTCTGGAGCTGCTTGCTTTTTCCTCTTTGCCTTGGAGCAAGAATAAAACAAATGCATGAACCACAACTCATTCTTACCAGTTATAGAAAAGCTTACATTAGAGGCCACAAACTACTATCATGCAACATACACTATCACTTTCCTTTTGTGAAGGCAGGACTCCAGTGTCATACAAGTTCAAAATTAAAGTCTCCAAATGAGCCTAGTTCTGCTCTTTATGAAATTTACCAGAATCCTTCAGCTTTAAAAAAAATTATACTATTTCCATTTATTATTTTTAAGAGCCTACTGTTTTTGCACAGCAATGCTGTTGGTCCACTAGTTTTAATTAAAAAAATAAAATCTGGTGGTCGTTTCACATTCCTTTCCAGCGAGAGCTACAAAAACACAGAACACCTAATAACACTTCCAAAAAAAAAGGCAAAATAAGAGATAATGAAGAAAGGATCTGGAAGTCACACCTCTATCAGGGGAACATTTTTTTCCTTTTCTTAATCAGAGTCCAATCTCTGTCCATAGCAAGATAAATTAAACACATTTTTAAAACATTCAGATCATATCACCTGTACATCACATTACTTGCAGTTGCTATAAAGTTACTATTTTTACCAATATTTATACAGTAGTCATGCTCCTATAGCTCATCTTCTCTTCATCCTCCATTTCAAAGAAGTGATATAGATATCAAAAATTATTCTCAACTGTTAGAATGACATTGTGGATAATTTATTTTGAAGAGGAATGGCTGCAACAGATGTAGGCAGTTGTGACAACAAAACCCACCAAAGCAAACTGTTCAAGTTTAACTTCTTAGGAATGCATACCAGTCCATGTTCTCTATTAGGATTTGACAGAATGTCTGATTTGTTTAGGGCAACTAAGTCACATTTTAATCGACTCAGTAGAGCAGACTATGTTTTTTCCAAGTACCGACTACAAGTTTGCATTAACACCTAGCATTTATTCTCTACTGTATTCTGGTTTTGTTAATAATGACCAGCATACTAGCAGAAATCTATGAATTAAATAATTACTAAAAATAACTGTGAACACTCAATTTACACATTTAGAAATAGCTAATGCATTAAAATTAATCAACTGAAAGACATCCAACTTGGCTGAGCATTTAAGTGAGAAAATAGCAGACAGAGTAAACAGATCACACTAACAATCAGAATCTGAATCAGAAAAAAATATGTATAAATAAGAAAAGCAACTGGCAGAGATGACAGGGCAGTTGGAGCTTTTCATTTTGAACTAGCAAGTAATCCTGACAAAACAAAGAGGGTTGGGGTAGTCTTAAAATTAAGCTGAATTCTTGCCACAAGGGGCAGCTGATACCAAAATCTTCTCTCTCTTGCCACAAAGCAAGAAGGAATTCCAGGAAGATTGAGACTAGCTATACCACATGGAAAAACCTAAATAAAGCAAAATACAACCTAAGAAAAAAGTTCACTGCAAAGCGAAAAGTATATTTTCTACACAAGCCCTAATAATATTTTTTCCGAGTGTCTGATAAATGGTATGGAATTATATGTATTTTGATACATAAAAGTTAATACAATCATAATGAACCACACATAATTTTCACCTTTTTGTCAACTTCACTATCTGAATCACTGGCGGATGAGCTTGAAGACACGAGTTCCTTTGACTTAGGCATTCTAGGATGAGAAAGGTAATATGAAAATACTGTACAAGAAATAAATCACATTACATCTAGAAGGCAACCTTAATACTGTTTACTCTCCCGAAGACTTTCCTGCCTTTTCACACAAGCTTTAAAGCACATCTTTAAAGGATAAAATCTCATACACAATTCCTTTTTATAGCTTTTCCCTTTCTTGCTGCAACTGCCTTAAGTGCAGTGTTTCACTTTTCAAACAGCTTAGGAAGGGACAGTTTTCTGCTAGTTCTATTGTGGTCTTTAAAAAAAAAAAAAAAAAGGGAAAAATACAATAGAGATACAATAGAATACATGACTATCCTCAGCTTGAATTCTCAATACATTAATTTAATCACTACATTAATTTAATCTACAAACGCCACAGCATTATCCATATTCTTACACAGGCATTTTGGCTAGTCGAATTTGCAGGCAAAAGCTATATAATAATCCTACAAGAAGCTAAGCTCCCCCACAAGTAATACAAGATCTGAAAAAACACATTAGTTACAATGAACTACAGTATGCAATTATTTCAACTGCAGCTTTAACAGATCGGTCACTAGAGTCTATTCATTTGCCAGACAAGTGGACATTCAACTTTCCTTGAATGCATGCTGCCAGATGTACTTCTGCATCTCTCCACTATGCAAACATGTGGTTAGATATAGCAGAAGAACATCTTGCCTGCTACTAGAAACTCTTTGTAATAAATAAATAGCTCATTTGTTCTTTCCTAGTAACAAGCATGACAGAGAAAACAAAGATAAGCTATGGAAGGCTAAGAGAAGCATGTCTCAGCAAAGGAAAAGGAACAGCATCGTTTTTAAGTCAGTGGTGAAATCACAGAGCACAAGTATAACGCTAGGAGCTCAATGTAGTTGAAAAGCGGGGCAAGTTCTGTCATCACAGCCTGGAGTACAATGCTGGAAACTGCAGCACTGAAAATGAAACAGGGCAAGGGGAAGCACAGGGCAGGACGGAGGCAGAGGGGATCTGGAAGGGGACAAGCACAGCAAGGACGTGAAGGTGGGGCACAGAACGAGGCTGATAAGAGGGGGCCGGGGGCCACAAGCCTTTCAGTCTGCCTTGGGATGCGCGAACGGCGGCACGGAGGAAGGCAGGGGAGGAAACTGCAGAAAGGAGAAAGGGGGAGCGGAACGATCTGCTGGGGAGAGGCCGGCAGGCAGCGCGAGGAGACGGCGAAGCACCGGGGGAGCGAGGGCGGAGTGAGACGGGCCACGCGAAGACGAGGCAAGGGAGAAGAGAAAGACAGGCCGGGAACAGCCGTAGGCGGATCCAAGCCGCCATTTTCCTCCCCTCCTTTCCACAGCTCCCGCT